TTTCTGTGGAGGAATGTAAATACTGGGACGATCTCGCGAAGCAGTGGAAGAAAGGCACAAGGAGGTGTGGTCTTGAGCATAAGTAGTTCTCTTTTGTTAATATGTAGTTTTTGCATGTATTAGCTACAAATATATATATATATTATATTATAATGAATTAAAATATTAGATAAAACTGTAAATAGCTTATAATGTCATATAATTTGTTATTTGACTTATAGAAAGTGACAAGTAAAATAGTATCTTATCAGTTTGGGGAAAGCAGTATAAGCTCTTATACATCTTCATAATATGTATTTATCTTACACTTATATTATAATAACATATAATTCTTATTACTTTCCATAATATTAATCTGACTTATTTAACCTTATTGTATCTTAGATAACATTTTCAGCTGAGGGAAAGCAGTATATGACGTTTTACATATTATTGATATTTTACATATTATATACTCATATAAGATTAAAAATGACTGGTACTTTTTTCCTGACGAATTACAGTAAGCTGCAGCTACAGTTTCAAGATATTTATTACAACCGTTTCTTTCAACTATCTCAACACGAATACCTAGTAAATGAATAAAAGAAAGGAAATGCACAGGCTTTAAATTCACGGGATCTTTTCTGCTCGCAGAGTTGATTGTGCCAATTGTGCAATATAATTGAATTTACTCATAGACTAGAGGGGCATGTAATCGAACTCTTTAGAACCCTCCACTGCCTCCAACTTCCTTATTGCATCAACTAATTGATCCATTACAGTATTACTGTTGGTAGTTCGCAACCGATAAATAGGATGTTCAATTGCCTTGCCAGGACTAAGAAAATCCAAGGGATCGGGGGATGACTGATCAGATATGCTCATGGGAGCGGGGGACACCGAGGACGACGGATTGCTAGGAAGATAATCGGGGTTGGGTTCATCAATGTTGGCATTATCTTTGAAGTTTTTGCTATGCAGTGTCTGAAAACTCCAATACTCTCCAGCAACAGAAATGCCAACAATAGCCTTTCTCTTGGGATATGCGCGAAAGAACGTTCTGGCCTGCTTTGAAAGTGTCATAGTAGCTTCTGTGATTGCATGCTTGATCATCGCTACTGAATCATCGCTAGGAGCAGGCTTGATCTCTCCAATAGCTACCAACTTCGACTTGGCAGGAAACACGATTTCTTCGCCATCCATCTCTATCACTTCTTCGTCCAGATGGCGCACAATACCAAAGTCTGGGACGCAGGTCTTCCAGCGCTCCTGTCCTGTGCCCCCTTGTGCTACAAAAACGCTTGTTATACGAGGCTGGGGAATCTTTGAAAGTGAGATGTAGCGCCAGGTAATTTTGTTTATCACGATGTCCCAAGTCCAATACCAAATGAACTCGAGGCCACGATGGGTATTATCTCCGGTGCTATCGCGCGTTTCTCGTATGGTAGCTCTGTTGGCAGCAATGGAAATACACTCCTTATCACTGTAGATGGCAATAATTTGTTGGGCACTCGGTAGACTATGCATTTGGTTAGGAAGAATAATTGTGAGAAATCACTAGAACACACCGAGGCATGTATGTATGAGCCTGACAAGCAGACAGTAATTAGCAGATAGGTGTTCAGAATGCACACGAATGGTGAGTAATCAATGTGGGTTGGGGTAGAATCGTAAGATTTGCGTGCATTTTATACCAGAGGGAAAATGGTGGCTTAATCTGCCAAAAGTTCAGCCACTAGTACTATCAGCGATTTTATCTTCTCTCTATCCAGGCAAGATCATGACAAGGGCAGGGCTCAGTCTTCAGTGGCCTTGACATCTGTATTCTTGATAAGCGGGCCAGCATTGTGGTCAAATTTATGAGTCAACAAAGCCGGCCACAAACTGACTCTCGATTTATTCTTCCTTAGAACTCTCTATTTTGAAATCAAAGTCGTCGGTCGGTGAACAAACGACGTGGGAACGAGAAGCTTCGCACAACGGTATATGCCGAAATGGGCTTCCAAATTGGGACGCGATGCTGACGGTCACGCGACACTTTTTTGTAAGACTCTTGACTTTTCGCATCCGGGCCCTGAATCCCACGGCCCAATTAGGGATGACCCTGACTGACCACTTATGTAATTCTAGCATACTGTGGCCCTTGTCATGAACAGAGTGAGAAGTTAGGAGGGGGGTTTGGGGGGGCTCTGCCACCCCAATTAGGTTTAGGATAAGTTTGGGCTGTTAGGCTTAGGTGTTAAGTTGGGTTTTAGTTAGGATTGGGGGAGGGGAATATTTGTTTTCTTAGGAAAAGTAC